GAAGGACCCTAGAGAAACTATGGGAGTTGTGGTATATTCCTTATTATAAGGGTAATGCAGGATTCATATCATCAACCGTGGGAGTGGACGTCCTAGTAGTAGTAGTAGTCCTAGTTGTAGTCGTAGTCGTAGTAGCAGTAGCAGTAGCAGTAGCAGTAGTAGTAGTAGTAGTAGTAGTAGTAGTAGTGGTTGTGGTGGAACGAACAGGGAGGAGATCTGCTTGGATTGGGTCGGTCGTACGAAACAGCTGTTGGCATCAGAAATAATTCCCGGAGCTTCTGGCGCAGCTTCAGATTTAGGGTTTTGTAGGGGTTATATAGGGTTTATAGGATGGGCCTATCTGCTGCAGCTTCCGACATGGTTTCACCTTGTTTCCTGAACAGCCTTAATCCCAACCTTTGGCCCTTATAATAAAATCCTTAAACACCCATCTCTAAACTCGAAAGCTGAAGGTCTGCAACCAAAGAATCCCTATGTAGCAGCAGCAACAACACTACGACGACGACCAGCTAGCTCTATAGCGGCTTACTTACCTAGGTACCTACCTGAGGGCCTGTACCTATACCTACCTACCTAACTTTCCGAAGCCTGAAACCCAAAACCCTGTCCTTACACACCCTAACAAACCTGGCGTGCTGCTCTGGCCAGCTCGTCGGCGGATCGCGATCTCGGCAAGTGCCTAGCTTTGAGAGTGACTCTGCGAAGCACAAGCTAGCAGCTAGATAAAGAGATACGGCTCCAGTCCACTCCTAGCCAAGCCACTTTGTCGGCAACACGGCTCAGTCTATGGCTTCATGAAGTCACAGAGCTCGGCTACATTAAAAAACTACATAGTCCTGCTTTGTGGAAAGGTCCGAGGGAGGAAAGGCATATAGGATTTTATAAGGCTTGGGGGTTCGGGTGTATAAGACCTGAGGGGGTGTATAAGACCTGAGGGTACTCGGGTTTAGGGTTTTTAGCTCCAAAGGAACTCAAACTCTTTCGGGGTATCCATGTCATGCAACCCGTGGCATCCTGAGGGAGCAGAGCAGCAAGCGAGACTTGGAAGAGGCCGTGGCGATGTTGTCGATTATGTGTGCTTTCTAGCTGGTATGACACACATCATGCCTCCTAGATGTTCGAGCCCGGGGTGCTAGGTTCGGGTTGCTAAGGTGTAGGGTTGTTAAAGTATCGGTTCAATTGGACCGACAGGATGTTCCCGCGTAAACTAGAGATCTTTCGTGTATAGGGTTTATAGGATTTAGGGTTTAAGGTTCAGGGTGTAGGGTTTATGCATAGGGCTTAGGACCCTGGCCTTGAATCACATGCACAAACTGAGCAGCAAAGCGAGAGCAGTCCGTAAACCCCAAGCCCTACCCAGAGGGCTCCATGTAGTTCCTTTTTGTGGTTTATATTTAGAATCGATAGGGTAATCCCCAAAAGGAACTACTTAGGGGCCTATGGGTAAACCTTGTAACTAGAAAACCCTAAAGCCCCAAACCCTAAAGCTCTAAACCTTAAAACCCTATAAACCCTATAAACCCTAAATAAACCCTAAAACCCCAAGCCCAAACCCCTTAACCCCTAGCTGTAGGAGGACTTGTATGATAGTTTGTATAACTCCAATGAAGAGAATGCTTGCAAGAGTCGCTTTATAAAGCCTTCAATTCCCTACCTGGACCTGTTCCTAATGCTTCGAACAGAAAAACGAGCCCGGAATGCACGAGCAGGGGCGGTGGCAGCACCTGTTCGCTCTGGATCCTGGATGTCTTCTCGAAGCCCGTACAGAACGTGGCGAACCAGGCCCGGCGGCGGCATCGGTACCTGAGGCTCGTCAGGGGTAATTCTGCACAGAGCAACAAGTAGAAGCTGGATGCAGTCTCTCATGTTGTACAGACACAAGACAGAGTTCCGTGAGCGAAGACACATGTCATTTTGTGTACGGCTGGCCTCGGACGTGTGAGAACACTGCAGAGCAGCCTATCATTCAGACCCCGTCCCGGCCCATCGTGCTATAGGCCAGGCTAATTTGGTCGAGCACACAGCTATACAGGAGATTTCTGTGGGCGCAGGAAGAGAGGGGGTTGGGTTTCGACATGATCCAATAGGATAGCTATGTATTGTGGTAGCAGCCGACAGTAAACTTAAACATCAACCCATCCTCTTCATCTCCCTCACAGAACCCCAGACTTCGATAGAGTCCCCCAAACATCTCCGATCAGCAAGTGCTGCTCAGGCCTCATCAAGGAGGAAACCTCAGCGAATCATTGCACAGGACTAACAGCACACTCAGCACCACAACCACCAACTATTTCTCTGCACAACAGGAAAACCAACGAAGTACAGAAGAGACACTTTGAATCATCTCCAAACACATGAAAGATTCGGCTCGCTCTTTGCAGATCTTCTTCAGGGCCAAGCCATCGACCTTCTTGCCCGGGCCAACCAACTCGAAGCAATGCTTCCAGAAAGCATCCTGATTTCAATTGCACGAGCAAACGAGGCCACTCCCCAAAGACTGACTGAGACCATCCCGTTATTCTGAAGCTTAGGCACTGCATGTGTCGAAGGTTTCTTCAAACGGGGCAGGCAATACAGCTCAAAGGCGTCTCGGATGCTCTCGAACCTCTGCTTGGCGAAGACTTCCTTGGGCATGATCCGGCCGGCAAAGGTCTTCTTGGGGCCTTCCCGTCGCTTGCGGGGAGGCTTGGGCTGATCACCATCATCATCTTCCGGGCTAGCCCTTTTCCGGGGCACAGGTCTTGTGTCCTCAACAGCTTCAACCAAAGCGTCGGGCTTGGCATCAGCCATCATCTGTCGCTCAAGCTCTGCCTCGAGCTCCTGGTCAACTTCGTTTGAAGGTGACCCGGGAGCCTCCATGGAAGACTCGGCATCCTTGGGCTTCGAACACTCGGCATCCGTGCCCTTCGCCTTCGCCTTCGCTTTTCCTCTCCCTTTCGCTTTGGCTTTTGTTTTGGGCTTTGCGGGGTCAGCAGTCGAGGTGGCCTGTTTTTTTCGCATCGCTGGCTTCTTCATCACGGGGACATCACCGTCCGAACCCTCATCCTCCATACCCTGGTCGTTTTCCTTAGCCTTGTTCTCGGCTGCCAAGTCCTCGCGAAGTTGCACTTGGTCGATGCGGCGGATACTGCTGGTGTCGAAGAACAAATCATCTTCGCCGGCCTTATCCTTCACGACTTCGGGGGATGCTGGCTCTGCGGGGTTCTGCTTCTCATGGAACTCAAGACCCTTCACGGCTTCCGGGGATGCTGGCTCTGTGGGCTTATTCTGCTTCTCCTCGAACTCAAGACCCTTCACGGCTTTGGGGGATGCTGGCTCTGTGGGCTTCTGCTTCTCCTCGAACTCAGGACCCTTCAAGGCTTCCGGGGATGCTGGCTTTGCGGACTGGGCAGGGCTCAGCAGATCAAGGCATTCCACGGTTTCGTCGAACTTGCTCTGAAGGTTCTTGGCAATCGGCGACATATTGCTGGGGCAAGTGTCCACCGTATCAACCCGGACACCCTTCGCCTTCAGAGGGCGAGCACATGCACGAGCAGCCTAGCGGCGTATAATCTCCGACCTGGGCTGCTGCATAGTATATGATAACATGTGCAAAATTTTTTTAATATGTATGTATGTATGTATGTATGTATGTATGTATGTATGTATGTATGTATGTATGTCATGTATGTATGTATGTATGTATGTATGTATGTATGTATGTATTTATGTATGGTATGGTATGGTATGGTATAGTCTAGTATAGTATAGTATAGCATAGCCTAGCATAGTATATAGTTTGTGTGTACATACTTGCATACATGCTTAGCTCTGCAATCCCAGGAACTTCAACCGCTCCAAACGATCACGGGCAGAGGTAGCCAACCCAGGCCAGCTTTTCGGAGCTTCCCGAACCGGCGAATCACCCAACTCAATGACCATACAGTCCTTCTTGGTGCCCATGGACACAGCCTGATCGGGCTTCTTGGCCGTCGAAAGGGCAAGGGCCTGAAAGTCCTCAGACAAACCCGTCCTCATGCTTTCAACAGGAGTCGAGGGCTCGCCCTCCAAAGCAGGGCCCAAGAATGCATCGTCGCCTCCAGCTGCATGGCTCAAACTGTCCAACTCGGCGGCCTGAGGCGACCTATGTTGCAAAACACTCATGTAAGCATCAATGGTCGCCTTGTCGTGCTCATCCAGGTCCTCGGACGGGTCGCGACGAAAATCATCGGGAGGAACACATTTCTCCTCGTCCTCGTCCTCCTTCAGCTCTGCTTTCGTCTTCTTTCGCTTGGAAACAGAAGGCTCCCAGAACATAGCCAGTTTCTCAAACAGCATGCGAAGCCGAGCATCCTCAGCAATAGATCAGACCACAGCATGTGCACTGCAAGATAACTTATCTAGTTCCTGCAGATCAGAAACCTTTCGGCGTGCACCATCATGCCTTCTGACCATGTAGGACATGAAAGCTCGCAATGACACTGCATCACAGTTCACTCGGATTTCGTTCGCGTCCAGAGACAAATCTTCTCGAAGCTTGAGGATCTGAACAGCAGGGGAGGAGTTGAAACACAGGCACACACAGAGTGGGACACACACACATACATATATACATATGTAGAAAACATGAAGCTTTCAAGCAGTGCCTGCTCTTTGGCGTGAGGGATGTAGATGGACTTTGCTGCCGTCACTTGGCAACACCAAATATCCAACAAGTGATCCACCACTGCATAGTTCATTGCTAAGCTTGCAAAGCTCACAATCCCACAGGTCTGCTTGGAAGGCCACTGGAACAATGTTCCATTCTTAAGGAGTGCTTGAACCACCCGCGAATCATTGCTCCAGGCCTTTGCAAGGCCTGCCAAGTCCACACCATCGGCAAGGAGGCTGTCTGCATCCATCTCTGCCATTGAAAAAAATCTGCTCTGCACTAGCCACCCCTGCTGTAGCAACAAATGCTGCTAATATCTGCGAATACAGGTGAGCTAACGAGAAAACCGATGCACCACAGCAATCTGAAATCACACCAGCGGGAGGGGCACTCGAAGAGTGCTGTCGTAGGCCAAGCCAGGAAGGATCGGCGAAGGAACACCTGGGAAAAGCTTCGGTCCATCGGGTTCCTAGCATGCATTCACTTATATAAGGCCAGGGCAGGAAACCAGTCCTGCTGGGCAGCAAAGCCCAGCGATCACACACCAGGTAAAGCCTGCAACAGCATTGGGACTTATAGTCTTCTGTTACCAGGATCGGTATGTGTGTTGAGGACAAGGCCAGGAAAGCTTCGGAGCTCCCACGAAGGAGCCACCAAGGATAAAGGCAGACCTCGCCAAGATATGCGGATGATTATAAGAAAAAATATATCTGGTTGAGGGCCACACACGACAGCAATCGAAGGGCTAGTCCAATCGCCTGTGCAGTCCGAGGTTTGAAATGTGCTTTCAGATCACATATGATGAGGGCACGGCCTTCAAAAGACCAGTAGCCGTAGCCCGAGAAAGGCCACCGACAAACCACTTCAAACCTCCCGGATTTGAAGCCACTCGTAACCCTCGGCTTCAATGCTCATGGTGCATGCACATGATATAAGAGCACGGCCTTCCATACACCAGTAGCCGTAGCCCGACAAAGGCCACCGACTCACCACTTCAAACCTGCGGGGGCACTGGGGCTCATGGTGCAGTTCTGAATGCTGATGATGACCGAGGGTTCACAAGCGAATCAACACAAGCAAGTAGTTTTGCTCGCATTCCTAGGACGATTCTCCCCCCGATCGCCAAGGATAGGTCAAGCTGTGCTTTCATAAACATTCCCACGATCATATGTCTGCAGCCTTCTGTCCATAGCTGCAGTATAAAAGATCGTCGGCCCTCGAACTCACACCTGTGCAGGCAGCATCTTCCGGTCGCCAGAGACAAAGCTACCTGAGCCCAGCGTGGACAAAAGATGAGCCAGACCCCACCCAGACAGGTATGGGGGTTTGAGGTTTGGGGGTTTAGGGTTTATTAGGGTTCGGGATTCTCCGGATTTTAGGGTTTAGGATTTGAGGTTTGCACGTGTGTGTGTGTATATATATATATAGAGATATATATACATATATGGAGGGTTGTTGTAAGGTTTTAGGGGTTATAGGGTTTTCGGCCCTTATTGCAGCCGGAAATAATCTGCGGACACAGCCATCCCCTAAACCCTAAACCCTCAACTAGGGAACTGCCGAAAACCTCCAGCACCCTTGCACCTCCGAAACCTCCAGCACCCCCAAAAGTAATCCCAGCTAGACTCTATAAACCCACACAAACTATAAACCCTGACCCCATGAGGGTAGGGCTCGTAGTCCTCTTCTCCATCTGCACCAGAAAGTGGATGACACCCTTGAGGCGGTAGTTCTGCAACATAGTCCACAGTCTGTCTTCGTCGGGTCGAACCTGGACCGTTTTGGGAGAAGTGTTGGTTGGGTCTACTGACGATGAACCGAAGCTTGCTATGCTCTGCAACATAGTGTGCCTGGGGTATGCCCTCTGGGTAAACGATCTCCTGGCATTTCATCCAGAAGTCGTCGGACATGTCCAGTAGACCTGGTGATGTTTGTTTGTTGCATCGCTGAGTACAAAGGCTACCACAAAATTTAAAGAAGCAGCCTTCACGAGCCAACTCGGCCGAAAGTACAACGTTGACATTGGTCAGGACCATGGTGAGAGGCCGGAGCACGGGAATCATAAAAGTCAAAGCTGTATAAGCCCAGCAGTACGGGGATAATGCAATGCAAGTGGCACAATGCACACAGCTAATGCACACAGCACAATGCACATAGCACAATGCACATGGCACAATGCAATTTGCAAGCGGGTTGGGAGGGTCGCACCTCCCATCATTCATGAGCCCACAAGGAGCTCGACACATAAACCCATGGTTTGAGCCGGTAATCAATTATTCATCGTATTGCATTATCTTATATGGGGTCCATATAGAGAATCTTGTGAATGCTCTTTATGCTGTAAAACTACGATTACGCCTGCCGGCTTTTTTTCTGCCTGCCACTATGGCCAGGCGCCTGTTTTAGAGAAGGCGGAATATTCAGCCCGCCCGGAGGATATAGGTAAACCCTAAAATAGAAGCCCTATATACCCTAATCTCTTCCCTTAAGGAGGGGGGGGGGGTACAGGATTCAGGATGGTTTCATGTCTTTGGGGTTTGGGGGTTTAGGGGTTAGGGGTGTAGGGATTTAGGGTTTAGGGGTTTTGGTTTAGGGGTTTTGGGATTTAGGGGTTCAGGGTTTAGGGCTTTACACATCGGCTGCATAGTAGTTGCTTTTCGGGGTTCATATTTAGGATCCTATAAGGTGATCCCAAAAAGGAGCTACTTTGGAGCCTCTGAATAGGGTCTAGGGCGTTCGGGTTAGGGTTTAGAGTTTCTCGGCTGAGAGTGTTCAGGGTTTTGGGTTTAGTCGGTTTAGTGGTTCAGGCTTGGTGTAAGAGGTTCAATATAGGAAGGGGGGGTCTGCATTCAGGTTTTAACAAGGGTTTACGAACTCAATTGCTTCACAGGGCTGTAACAAGCAGTTTCAGGAGAAATGGGACGTGGCTTGTGGCTGCTTTTCGGGGCGGTCGTGCAGTACCGTGCGCTGAAGAAATGCTGGGAAATGGTGCTGGGATGCAGTGCCCCGTAGGAAACCAAAGCCCTGTGCCCAGCACTGGACTGGGATAGATTGTGTTGGACTAGTGCACTACTTAGCACAGCTCCACAGTTCATGCCATCTCCAGTCTCAAAACCTAAACCCTCTCTGGGCCTTAAGCAGCATATTCCTCTACCTCGATGCATTTTGCACCTTCCAAATTTCCGGATATACGAGCATGACTCCAATTTTTTTTTACGCCGCCGTTCATGCTACCAAAACCCAAAACCCTAAAGTGCCCTAAGCCCTAAGCACCTAAACCCAAGACCCAAAACCTCTAAGCCGAAGCCCCTAAGCCCTTAACGAACCGTCAATCCGGGCTCCGAAAGCCCTACAGTAAATGCTAAGCCGCACACCAAGCCATCGAGTCCGTTTTACCTCATACAGAAGCCTATAAATGGGTAGTGCTCCAAATTAGGGTCCCTTTTAGGGTCCTTTTTACAAGGGTGCCGTACTATATTGGGGACCTAAGAAAGGGACCCTAATCTAGAGAACTACCCAAATAATTACCCACACTTCTCCTCTAGGGCTCCTTGGATCATAGTTACATAGGGTTTAGGGTACATATGTTCCAGCATGCTCCCAAGCCTAATTCAATCAATTAGGCCCCTACATTGTGGATTTTTCCCATGAAGCAGTGAGGACGGCCGCACGTTCGATGTTCGAAGCTACAGCAACTGGCATGAAGGTCCCGCATTTCGGGTGTTAGTACAGTTAAGGGCTTTGGCTAGAAACCCTAAACCCTAAACCCTGAACCCTAAACCCTAAACCGGTTAGTAGAATTTAGGGTTTCGGATGACAGTGTGTTCAGGGTTTACCTCCCCTCACCTGCCGTCTGTTAGAGCCATTTTAGGGGTAGCCTATGCTCAGGGAGGTACAGCCTTGGGAAAGCCACTATGTGTCCTTATATTTCAGGTATATTCCTTACTGGAAGGGTTTCAGGGGCAATGCCAGATCTTTGGCCTCAGTTGTAGCCAGGCTGGAGGAAACACAACCCCAACCCTGCCCCCCGAACCCCCCAAAACCCTAAACCCAAATCCCTAAACCCTAAACCCTAAACCCCAAGACCCGACTGATAAGCCTTAAGCCGTAAACCCAAAGTGCTCGAAGAACTTAAACTCTGACTCAGGCGGAAAAGAGCCCCCAAACCCTAAACCCAAAACCCCTAAACCCCGAAACCTCAAACCCAAAACCCAAAACCCCTAATCGCCCAAACCCTAAACCCCTAAACCCGAAACCCTGAACCCCAAGACCCAAAACCCTAAACCCTAAAGCCCTAAACCCCAAAACCCAAAACCTCTAAAGGCCCTAAACCCTTAAACCCTAAACCCCAAGATCCAAAACCCTAAACTCAAAACCCCTCCAGTCGGGCAACAGCAGCGACAGTCAACAGTGTGCCAGAGCATTGACATATCGACCCCCGAGAGTCAGAGGCACAATCATGAACCTGCACCACCAGCACATGCAAGTGACACCAGTGCTGCACAAGGCGAGGGAGTACATCCATCAACACCCCCGAGACAGGTGAGGATATAATCAGCCAGTCCAGGGAGTGCAGGAGGGCAGTCATCAGCCCCAGGCAACACTCCATCAACCAGCAGCAAGTTGCGTGACATGATCAGAGGCAGATGAGTCGAACATGATGCAGTACACCACAGCCATTTGGCAAAACAAAACCCCCAAAAAAACCCTAAACACCAAAAAACCCTAAAGCCCTAAAGCCCTAAACCCTGCAATCCCTGAAGGTCCCGAAGACTGAAAGTGGGAGACCCTAAGACCCCCCGAAGTCCCCCAAAACCTCAAACCCCTCAAAACGAGGGTTTCTGTTTTATAAAGAAAATCCAAGGGAGGGAAAAATCTCGCAGAGAGGTTTTTTTTTGTATAAAAAAACCCAAGAGAGGGTTGGTTTGTTTTTTTTTTTAATGAAAACCCTCTTTTGGGGTTTGTATGAATTAAAATACTCCCTAGACCCTCCATCTACCCTCTATTAGACCCTAAATGCCCTTAACTTGGGACCCTTTACCCCTATTTGAGGGTACTTGGAGGGTCCTGAAACCCTAAACCCGGAATCCTAAACCCTAAACCCTACATCACACCCGGCTCCCAAGACCCAAACCCACATAAACCAAATACTCAAGGTATTTCTGTAAAGCAACCCTGGCCCCTCCGACCGGATTCCGAAACTCTGGGGCCCCTTCTTCGGGCTCATCTTAGGGGTTTGGGGTTTAGGGCTTTGGGGTTTAGGGCTTTAGGGTTTAGGGTTTAGGGGTTTAGGGTTTCGCTATACTCTATTTTAAAACTGCTCCTACTATTTGGTCGTCCTCTTTGGCGGATCGACGGGGCAGATCACGGGCAGGCGAGCCGAACCAGTTCGACAACGTGAATGAGAACGTGCCTCGGCCCTCCCAGAAACCAGAGGTGCTCGAGCCCTAAACCCTAAACCCCCTAAACCCTAAATCCTAAAGGAACCCCTAAACCACCGAATAGCTACGTATTTGTCCTGGAAGATGCCAACTTATCCTACTACGATCCTAAATCCGAGTACCCAAGTACTAAGTGCTTTGGACCTGTATACAGTAGAAGCCCAAAAGTTGGAAACCCAAGAGCCTCAATCCTAAAGACTATTGTATGGGGAATCCCAGCACTATTTGACCTTAATCCGGTTTCCAACTTTTTGAGGTTTACTGTAGTCCAGGAGGGTCTCAGTCTTCGATGTAGACGGGAAGTCAGTCTTTCAAGAGCGTGATCTTGCATGTTACAGCTCAGTTCAATACACCAGAAAGCGATGATTCAGGCTTGAGGGCCAGGGGTTGGGTCAGGTCACCTTTGCTTAAGGGTTTGCTAGCGGCGTCCCAAGAAGCACATAAGCATAAGCATTTTACAGGGATAGCCCTACCTAATTGGGTTCCATTTGGAGGGGTTTATATGGGATATCAAACCCTAATCACCCTAAACCCTACTCCATGTGTGTGTGTGTGTTTTTTTTTTNNGGGGGGGGGGGGGCCTTCCCTGCTAGAAGGGATTTACGAGGTTCAGGACTCCGGGTTTAAAGGTCAGGGTTTTGGTTGTCGGGCTTGTGAAGCCGAATACTCTACGGGGTTTAGGGTGCCTTTAGAGGGTTTCTTATTATGAATTCTTTTTTATAAGTCCTTAAAAGGTAGGTTGTTTGGGGTTATGGTGAAGGTTGGGTTTAGGGCTTAGGGTGGTCGTTCTTAACGCCTCAACCGCTTTTGCCCCCAAACCCATCATCCTCTGTAGCACTTACATGGAGCATCATGAAACTTGTGAAATAAGGGGTCTAAGTCCCTAATTAAGGTTACACTGAGTAGCCATCTACAGCTATAGTTACCTCACTTGTAACCCCTGATCATTCAAGCATAGTAGTCTCCGCATTCCTCCGTTGTGAGAAGATCGAATTCACTTAAACCCTTGAACATGTGGGCAGTTCTCTAAAGTCGGGTCCCTCTTAGACTCCTCGTTATATAATGGTGCCGTAGCATTTTGGGGACCTGAAAAGGAAGCCCTAAATTCTAAGGCCCAACCCCGAATCTAGAGAACCGTGCATGTGTTCGATTCGTTTTTGACATGGGGACTATCAGGCCGAAGTAAACTTCATATGGCTCCTTGGACTCCGAGGGTCTACTTCGCGTTTTTGCTTCCTTCAGGTGCTTGGGTTGTGCTTTTGTATCTAGTGTTTAGGGTTTAGGGTTTCGGGTTTAGGGACTGTTCTAGGTAGAAGTTACCCAGCACTTCCCCCCTAAACCCTAAACCCTAAACCCCCAAAGCCCTAAACCCCTATAGACCCCTTCCATATGCAAGACGTCAGGTTCCAGCCACGATAAGATTCCGCAACCTCTGCCCAGTGCCGCGTTTTTTCCTTCAAAACAAGCGAGGACTTCAGGGTCTAGGGTTTAGGGTTTAGGACTTCAATGCCCTGCCCCATATAGGTGTGGATGTGGCTGATTCCAGCTGATAGACACTGTTACCATCTGTATCAAGCAGTGCATAATTCTTCCTT